TCTTGGTGTTTGGATCTTGGGGGTGGACCCCTCATGAATAGATTTCTTCCTAGGAGTTGAGTGAGTTCTCACTCTGGTGGCAGTGGATTAGTTCCCAAGAGAGTGGTTTATTAAAAGAGTCTTGGTTTCTCTTGTTTCTCTCATTTTTTTCCTTTTTCTCCCTGTGATCCATTTCTTTCCATCTGTGGAAGGTGGAAGTAATGTAAGTCCCTCACTGGATCCATCTCCCCATGCTTGAACTTTCTAGCCACCAGGATCGGGAGACAAATAAACTTCTTTTCTTTATAAACTACCTAGTCTCAGGCATTCTCTTACAGCAACACTTAACTGACAAGTATTTTACACTGACTTGGAAAACCATAAAAATCATTGCTAGGTGATTAGGACTTGAAACAAGAGTTGTAAAACTTTTTCTAAAGTTGTAGACAGCTAGCATGGCCTCTCTCTGTTGTCTTTTGTGTTTAGATAAGTGTGGGAGCTCCAAATAAAGGTGTAAGGACAATGAGAAATGAAGGCTGGGGGTTAATTAGTCAAGGCTAAAATATTGGAACAACAATAGACAAAGTGCCCCAAAAGAATGCCAGTGGAAATACGTATGTGTATGTATCAGCAGCAGATGTTTTTTGAATAGTCAGGTACTGTTGAGGACTGTTCAAGGCATTGCAGGGAACACAGAATTCATAGACTCTGTCCCAAATTCAGCTTAGAGTCCTGCTAGGAAGAAAAGACAAGTGTCAGTCCTGCTGGTACCAGGTGCTGAGTCTCCTACAGGTTGCTTAGAATAGTAGGTGGGGAAGTGAAGTGCTGACCTGTTGTCTCTTCTGAATCCTTCCCCAACTTCCCTATTGTTTTAAGATGTAGTGAGCCTTACTGAGGAGGAGGTGAGTGTCATTGAGAAAATGTCAGTCGTTCGTTACTCAAAGTTCCCAAGAGGAAGGGCAGGGTACCACTCAGGGTGGGTTAGAAGGCAGAGGGTGAAGGGAGCTGTGTGCAGGAGCCTTTATGGCGGTTTCCGAGGGAAGGAATGGCTGAGGCATGGCTAGCAGGTTTAGGGATTGGCTGGTTTGAATAATTTCGTTGTCTCTGAGGCACAGGGGCCATTCCTAGTTTCTAGTTCTCTGGAAATTGTTTGTGTGGTGATTTTGGCTGGCAGTGTGAGAGCCCATTGTGTGGGCTCTGGACTGGTTGGTTTGCATTTGAAGAATGTACTCTTGGACAAGTTTACTGTCTCTAGGATTTGGCAGCCCTAGGAAGGATAGTCTTCCCACCATCAGCAAAGGCCTCATATGTCAGTGTCAGAAGAAAGTAATAAAAGACATGCTGACTACACTTACACTTTTTTTTTGTGCCCTAGCAACATCTTAAGCAGGTCTCCAGGTTGGCACTTACAGCAACTCTTCAAGGACACTGTGAGCTTCCCGGTGCCACCTTAGTGTTAAGTCAGCAGTCCACTGTGGTCAAGAATGAGATTTTTAAATGTAAACCTGAATTCCTTTGGCAGGAGTGGGGCAAGGTGCCCGAGTGGACTTCTGGAAACGAATGACATCCCTGTGTGGGAGACAACCTGAGCTGGTTTCTGGAGGTGCCGGAATGGCAGGCTTACATGACATTAGGGAAGGTGGAGTAACAAGCTGGATGTGTTTTAGGCACGTTGGTGAGAGATCACTGTGATATACAGACGGTGCCAAAAAAATGTATGCACATTGTAAGAAAGGAAAACTATATTAAAATTGTAACGCTCACTTTGTACAGATGACAAGATGAATACAAGTCAGATTTGAGCACCTCCTGTAATTGCAGAAGTCGAATGTGATTTCAGTATTACAAATTTGGTGCAGTTTTTTTCTTTCTTAAAACATGTATTCATTTTTTGACACCCTCTGCATGTGTAATTGGGGTTCTGTAAATATAGTGGTGGCTTGGGAAATGCTGTATTGACAAGTTTTGGGGGACATTAAAGTGAGGAGAGAGTGACATTTCATCATGAATAAATACAAAGTGAATGTGCAAGAGGAGAATATTGTATATACAGTCAACACTCAGCTCCTAAATGTTTTGCTTGCCCCAAACTCTTGTGAAACCTTCTTTTGGGAGATTGGAAGATAATCAGTGCTTGGGCCAGTTTGCAGCATTCCCCCCGGACTACTGATAAGCTCAGATCTGTGCAGAGTGGCTGCTTCATTAGCTCATCTGTGTTATCTTTAGAAACGTTTGCCTCCCCCTTAATTGCTCTGTGCTTCTTTATGGACATCATCTTTTGTGTTGTTTAATTTCCTCCTCATTCTCAAGGAATTGGTCCCTGCTGATCAGTTTTCAGTACGTTTTATCCCCACAATGATGCTTTTATTAACTTTATTACTTTTTTTCCTTCCAAGGAATTCTGGTTTGTTTTGTTGTGCTTAGTTATCCTTTTATCTAATTCTCCCAGAAAGAAGTAACACCTCACTTTGACTCAGAGACCTCTATATCTACGTTTTCATGTTTTAGCACTTCTACCTTGGGTCTGCATTTTTTCCTTTAATAATTTTGCGTTTATATTCCTATCTATTTTCTCCTCTATATCTACGTTTTCATGTTTTAGCACTTCTACCTTGGGTCTGCATTTTTTCCTTTAATAATTTTGCGTATATATTCCTATCTGTTTTCTTAGGTTTAGTTTTCTTTCCAACTAATGAACTGTTTGTGTTTTATTATTGTAAGTGAAATAATGATTAACATGACAATACTCAACATACACTGTGTATAAGATGCAATAAAATTAATCACTTATTTGTGAGTGTTACAACATGCTACGTACTGTTCTAAGTGATTTATGTATATAGTAACTCATTAAATCCTTGATCTATGAGGTAAGTTCTTCCCCATTTCCCAGTTGGAAAATATTATCACCCCAATTTTATAGGGAGTAAACTGAGGCACAGTGTTGAAGTGCACTTAAGGCAGTGCACCTGAGTCAGTGGGTGAGGGAGTGTGTGAATCTGAAAATGACCAGTGTGTTCACCTGCAGTCTTGATGGACATTAGGCAGAAATAGTAAATAAAAATGTAGAAATCCAACAGAACCTTTCATTGATACCTGCCATCTGCTTTTACACCCCTTTGCCTTACTCTCCACGTCACCTCTGCTGCAGACCTTTGGCAAGCTAGGCTTTATTTATCTTTCAAGTTTTAGTTCAGCAGTCAAATCTACAGAGAGGCTGCTCATGACTCCTGAGATAGGGCAGCATCCTCTCCCCCAAATGGTTTCTTAACCTGCAAGCCCCACCTTGCAGCACCAGTCAGAGTGGGAAGATGTATTAGCCTGCCCCTGTAGAATAAAGTTCCATCGTGGGAGTGACCTTGTCTGTCTATCCTCACCAACCATTATTACATCCTCATCACCTTGCATGCTCCCGGGTACGCGGTTGGTGATCTCTAAGTATTTACTGAATGAGTGAACAAAAGGTTATGAAGAAAGGAAGAAGAAAAGCAAAGATTTAGTGTAGGCTTACCACATTCCATATACGAGTCAATGATTGTACTAGTTGGGGATAAGTTTAAGTAGCAGAAAACCCTACTATAGTAGCTTAAACAAATAAAATATTGTTTGTTTCATATAGCAAGAATCCTAGATTGGCATTTCAGGGCTAGTTTTTTATTTTTTATTTTATTTATTTATTTATTTATTTGAGATGGAGCCTCACGCTGTCCCCATGGGTAGAGTACTGTGGCTTCACAACTCACAGCAACCTCCAACTCCTGGGCTCAAGTGAGTCTGCTGCCTCTGCCTCCCAAGTATCTGGGACCACAGGTACCCGCCACAAGGCCCAGCTATTTTTTGGTTGCATCCATCGTTGTTTTGGCAGGCCCGGGCTGGATTTGAACCCGCCACCTTAGGTGTATGTGGCTGGCACCTTAGCCACTTGAGCCTCAGGGGCCAAGCCTCAGGGCTAGTTTAACTGCGAACAGATGTAGTCAAGGTCTTAAGCCTTTCTTTGTTTCTGTTCCTGCAGGTTGGGTAATATGATGATCCTGTCAAAATGAAAGTATATTCCAGTTGTGGGCTTTTCTAGTGTTATATGAAGAGTAGGTTGGTTGTTTGGGTGGTAAGTTTGAAACTCTGTTACGAATGAGATAGGTTCTGTAGGTTTGTTCCTAAGTTGAATTAGTATGTAAGTTCGAACAGGTACATTCATTTATTACTTGCAACAGCCTCTGTTAAGTGAGAGTCATGTGTCAGTCTGTAACTCAAGAACTTACTGTAATAGCCTCTGTTCATAAGTACAAGTTGGAATAAGTCAGATGTTTGTAACTCAAAGACTGCCTGTATACTTCCCTAAACAAAAAGTTAGATTTTGTTTCCCCCTCCTCTTAGCTATGCCTGGATTGCCAAGTCCAGGCTCTAATTCACCTCTACCAGGGAGTAGAATATGCTGGACTAGTGGAAGAGTGGCAGCCCAGGGAGACAGAAGGAATTTTTAAATGGAGTTTGAAAAACTATCCCTTCTGTTTGCTTCCCCTCCGCTCCTAGTTCACAGATACCTTGTCCCTCCCATACCTGAGCTTTTAGAAGGGAGGATGGACAAGGCTCTGTGGCTCAGTGGGCTCACTCCCTGCCTCATGGCAGCCTAGGGGCGGCTTTCCTGTCTCGGGGCGGGTAAGCTCTGCCCATAGGTTTGTAACCCCCATGCTCTTGGGACTTGTGGGCTTTTGCCTTCCTTGTTTCTTAGCATTTTGGTAGAGAGGGAAGGAGTTCAAAATGCATGTATCTGTCTTGTGTGCTTAACTGGAAATCTGGCATGTATTTTTTATAAAGATAGGACTATATACCTATTATAGGTACCTTTGGAACCTATAAAAGTCATTTAAGAAATTAACCATTGGCTGCATTTTAGCTGATTCACATAAAAATGGTAAGATAATGAAAATTCCTGGGAGAGAGTCTAATTTCAAGGGTATTAAAACTCTAGATTTGTTAAAATGTGAATATTAACTTGTTAAAAATGTCTTTTAAATTTTCAGATTGTGAGCCATGCCTTTAGTGAAGAGGAACATCGAACCCCGGCACTTGTGCCGGGGAGCTCTGCCTGAAGGGATTACCAGTGAACTTGAGTGTGTCACCAACAGCACTCTTGCTGCCATCATACGCCAGCTTAGCAGTCTGAGTAAGTCATCTTTTTATCTTATTACCATTGACATTTTATTAATTTTCTGTTAGCAAGTTGATTTCAATTTAATGTTGAAGTGATTGTCCAAAGAAGAGACTGTGGCCTTAAAGGAAAGGAGCTCCCTCCCACTGCATTTCCCAGTGTGGAATTCACCATTGCACTGGACTAGGGATGCACAGCTTCAGATGATGAAGGTGTTGTGTTACTACCAAGTCATCCATTATTAGATAAGACCAAATGTTAGATTTAAAATGGTGTTAAGTTTTTAAAGCTTTTAAAAAATGAAGATAACTGGTAAGTTTTAAAAAACTTTAGTAAATTCTTTTGTTAAGCTTGAAGAACACCAGTTGTTTTTATAAAGATTTAATGGATTGGAAACTAGTTAATACAGCACATAGTAGGCACTCAATAAACACTTGTTGATTGAATAATGTTCCAACTGCATGATAAGAGTACAGCTGAAAAGCAGTAAGATAGGCTGATTTTTATGTACTAAAAGTTTAAATTCATGGGTCACTATGAAAGTTTTGAGGCAGGCTATGTTATGGTCATTATTCCACTTCCAAGAAACACAGTCGATGGTGTGAGTTTCAAATTGCAGGCTTATCCGTGTTGCTGGGAGGGCTTCATTTGTTTCCATCAGTGTGGATTTCATGTTTTTGATTTTTGTGTATCTCAAAACTTTCTTAATGACCCATGAACAGGTACTGACTTCCACATTGAGGTCACCAAATGCACTAATTATTACATGTAGATGATACCACAAATGTGTTTATATGCAGAGATTTATGGCAAATATATGCACAAGAAAGAAAAATCTTCCTATTACTTTAATTTTGAATGTCAATATTAAATACTCAAGGAATATTCTATCATTTTAGGACTCAAGCATGCAAATACTTTTCCCTCAAAGCTTCTTGAAATTGCAGTATTTTTCTCCTAAAGTTTTACATTTATATAATGATCTTGTTTTCTCACTTCATCCTACTCCTTTTTGGTTTAGATGGTTTACATGGCATTTTTGGTGACAGGTTTTCACAGTTAAAAGTTTCAGAAACTCTGTTAATAACAGAAGATCCTCCATGAAATTCTTCATACTCGTAGCCTCACACATACCCATTTTTTACAATCAAGTACTTTTATTTATTTTGAAGAAGAAACATTGTGCATATTTGTGTTTTTGAAATAATTGTACTGTATTATTAATGATATATTTTTTAAATAATTTAATGGGGTTTAATGATTTTTTTTTTGATATATGATAATCATTGCCTAAGGCTGAAGTGACTTGCGAATTACTTAAAATGGCTTTTCAAATAAATTTCTTCTGGAATCTAACCTAACCTATAACAATTGACTTTTGGTAGTAGTTCTTGATAAAGGATACAAATTCATATAACTAGAAGACTTGTTGTAAATTATTGGAGGGTAAAATGTTTCTTTTTGCATTCATATATTTTTGTAGGAATGGTTTAGCCTCTTGTTTTTATGGCTGAAGTGTCTGTTGGCACAAAGTATAAGTGATGAAAACCAACATAAACTGTTAAAGTTTTAATAATCAATCTGTGTCTCATGCTGTAATATTCACCATGGAGTTGTATTAGTTGTGTTTATGGTCCCTGCATGGCCACAGTCTCATTTAAATCAGTCTACCCATACGGTATGTCTTGTTCTATATGGCCCTTGTGGTGGGCATAATGATAGCCTCTCCAGATCTGTCCATGTCCTTATCCGCAGAGCCTTTGGATTTGTTATTTTACATGCAAAAGGAAATTAAACTTGCTAATAAACTGACTTGATGAGAGGGAGATTATCCTGGACTATCTGGTTAGGCCCAGTGTAATCACAGATGTCCTTAAATGTGGAAGAGGGAGGTAGAAGATTGAGTGTTAGAGTGCTGTGATGTGGGAAGTGGCTGTTCTCTGGTACTGAAGATGGAGGAGGGGGCCATGAGGCAAAGGACACAGGCAGCTTCCAGAAGCTGGAGCAGGGAGGGAAGTGGATTCTCCTCTAGACCCTCAAATGGACACAGCTCTACCAATGCTTTGACTTTAGCCCAGTGAAATCTATTTTAGACTGCTAGAACTGTAAAATAACAACTTGTGCATTTTTTAAGCCACTAAATTTTGTGTTAATTTGATGTAACTATGTTTTAAGAAAAGAAGAAAGTAATATACTATTATATTACTCTAGCCTTTGTTATGCTTTGGGCAATATAATCCATTATAGCCTCATGATTGGACCATGAATGGTACCTGCCTCAAAGATAGTCAGTCTCCAGTTAGGCTGCCTCAAGGGATCTTAACATTGCCTGTCTATCACAATTACTTGGAGAGCTTTAAAACAAGATGCTAAGAATCTCCCCAAAGACTATGTTTTAAGTATATACCAGAGATGACCCATGACCCATGAAATTAGATATTTGGATGTCTGGGGAAAATGAGCTGAGTCAGTTAGATCCTTTAGGAAATTTGAACTAAGAAACATAGTAATAATTCATTGTGGGACCTACTGCTGGAATGTCATCCAGGGCTGAAGAAGCCATGAGGACCACCTGTAAGCCAAAGTTGTGGAGGAGGCAGAACCTAGGAGCAAGCAGAGTAAGTCAGTTGTGAAGAAGAGCAAAAGGAAGAGCATGGAGAGCCAAGTGGGAACTGAACAGGAGAGACCCTGAGGGTGGTAAGGTCGAGACAGCAGGTGGTCCCTAGACCTGCCTAAGATGACTTTCCTTCCCATTCAAATTCAAAGTGTATGTTGCTTGGGTGTCCTTAGAGTGGATTCTCTCCTCAGGTTCCTGGAGTGCCTCTGGGGCTTGCAATCCAAAGAGCCTTACAAAAAGAGTACAATGGTGTGTATGGCAAGGATGTAATTTTAGAAAACTCAGAAAACTGAGTGCAATGGACTGATGTTTATGTCTGTCAGAAATTCGTATATTGAAATCCTGCTCTGCAATGTCTGTAGAGCTGGGGCTGTGGGGAAGTGACATGTCTATGTGGTGAGGGTGGAGTTCTCATGAGTGGAATTAAAAATTTAATTATTATTTTAAATTATTAAAAAGGCCTGCAGGGCAGCGCCTGTGGCTCATGGAGTAGGGCACCTGCCTCATATACCAGGGGTGGTGGGTTCAAGCCCGGCCCTGGCAAAAAAAAAAAAAAAGGCCTGCAAGTCATCCCTTCCCTTCTGCCCTGCGATGACACAGCAACAGGGCGTTGTCCTGAAGCAGAGCGCAGCCCTTACCAGACACCGAATCTGCTGGCTCTCTGATCTTGGACTTCTCAACCTCCAGAACTCTGAGAAATAAAGTTCTTTTGTTTATAAGCCTCCCAGTATTCTGTATAGCAGCTCAAATTGACTGATACACTGAGTTATTAACTGGTGGTAGAACAGCAAATTAGATTATCAGTAGTTTATTAGTGTTTATTTACTCAGTACCCCTATAGGAACATCAGATGACAAATAAAATTGATTTCTACTTAGAAGTTAAAGACATTTATAATTCATTTATAATTTATAAATAACACTAACAGACATAAAATAGGAAACATGTAATTATTATGACTGTCCACCAGATAGTACTAGCACATAGTAAATGGCATCTATGTTTTAGGTGAATCTTTAGTTTTTATGGGTTTTCTACTGGGTGTTAATACATTTTATGATATGAAGTTATTGAGAAAGGTAAGGGAATTTAAAAGAATGTTTTTATATTATTTTCTAATTTTAAAATTATTAGATATTTTTAAAATTAAATTTTAGGAACACTTGATTCTGTTATATCTTTTATCATAAAAATGAATACCTCTTGTACTGAGTATTCATTCCTATGATAAAACATTTTTTTTAAAATTCCTTTGAGTATTTGACCATTATTCAGTAGGGCTAGATGATAATGGACTATCTTAATCTTCCCCACTTCTCTCCTCACCCTCCCATACCTATATCCCCACCACCACCTCTGCTTCTCATATCAGAAAATCATTTTCAGGTGCATAATGGGATAGGTGATGTATGATTGCCTGGACTTCCAATAATTGATGTGAACAGAGGTTAGCGTTTATCTACACATATATATTGAGGGAAATCCCAGTAGAACTTAAGGATTTGACTTGACCCTAGACTGGTCATACCTACCTGAGCAGCAGAAACTTGCCCTGGGAGGCCTACTAGTAGCTAAAACCCAGAGCGACTCATTGTGTGGTAGATCTGTCTAGGGGAGGAAAAACAGACCAGAACTCCATGCGGAATTTAAAGGAGAGAGTTACCTCACCAGTCTGATTCTCATCACATTTATGGGGACATTTCAGGGTCATGAGGATTTAGATAATTTTACATAAAGCAAGAGAAGAATCTGATCTTAGATACCAAATAGACTCCTGAAGACCCTATAGCTCTCCACTGCTTTGGGGAAATCTGTAGGTTTTTACCTCTTGCTACACTCTCATTACATCCAGATCAGCCACTTGACTTCAGTACTTCAATGGCCAGAAATTATGCCAGCGTGAGACTTTTTTTTTTTTTTTTTGAGACAGGGTCTCACTCTGCTGATCAGGCTGGAGTACAGTGGCATCAAATTCCTGGGTTCAAGTGATCCATCCACCTTGGCCTCCCATGTAGCTGGGATGACAGACATACACCAACATGCCCAGCTAATAATTTTTCTGGTTTTTGTAGAGATAGGATCTTCAGCATGAGGTTTTTAACGGGCTTTTTAGGGAATTGAAATCTTTCCAATGAGAATATATTGATTATTGGTATTGAGTTTAAAATAGTCATACAAATGAAGAGAGAAAATTTGTAATTTGAGCACTTGTATAGTTTTTTGTAAAAAAGATTACACCTCTGAAAACTTTATCCGATAAAACTAAAAACTGTCTTTATTAATTTTCAGGTTTTTCATTTTGAGTGTTAGTAACTTCTAATATAGTATGAGAGATCAGAGGGTTGGGAGAGGGGAGGCCTTTTGCTTAAATAGTTTGGGTTATCAGTGTGTTACTTGG